TCTCCTCTCTCTCTCTCTCTCTCTCTCTCTCTCTCTCTCTCTCTCTCTCTCTCTCTCTCTCTCTCTCTCTCTCTCTCTCTCTCTCTCTCTCTCTCTCTCTCTCTCTCTCTATTTGTCCATCTATCGATCTATTTATGTCTATCTATCCATCGATCTATATGTGTATCTATCTATCGATCTATCTACGTCTATCTGTCTATCGATGTTTATCTATTTATCTGTCTTTTTCCTTCTCTCTCTCCCACCCTCATGACCTTTCCATGCCCTCTCATCTTTTCCCTCCGTCCTTCTCTCGTCATTCTTCACCCTTAACTCTTTCGCTCGTTCATTTCGCTCTCTTCACCTTTCATCACCTTCTCTGTTTCATCTATCGCAGTTTCTTATTATTTCCCCCTATCTCACTTTTTGAAATTTTAGCTTCTCTCTTTCATTCTATTTTCTCTTTTCTTCCATTTTTCATATTTCTTCGTGTTCATTTTTTTGGGGTTGGGGAGTGGAAAACAATAAGGAGAGGATGGATAAAGGGAAGGAGGAAGAGAAATAGAAAAGGGAGACAATGGAGATTGAGGGAGAGAGAGAGAATGGAATAACACCAATAGCAGAGAGACGAGGAGAAGGCAAGAGGGAGAGAGGGGAGAGAGACTGATAAAGAACGAAGTGGAGAAAAAACCACACGAAACAGATTAATATTATTTCAAGCATATCCAGCTTACACAGATACCAAAACAAAACAAAACCCTCCTCTACCCCAGCCCTCCCCTCACCCCATCCTTCCCTCCTCCTCTCATCCCATCCCCTTACACTCACCTCCTTCCCTCCCCCTTCCAGTCCCTCCCCTTCTCCTTTCCCTCTTCCTCCCTTCCAGCCTGTCCCCCCCTCCGTCCCTCAGCCCCACTCGTCTCTCCCCCTTGCCTTTCCCCTCTTCCCTCCACCCCCTCCCGCCCTCCCCTTACCCCTCCATCCCCATTCCTCCCTCCCTTCTCCTCTCCACCTTCTTCCTCCCTTCTTCCTCCTTCCCTCCCCATCACCCCTTTCCGTCCCTCCCCTCCCCCCTCCACCCCCTTCCTCCCTTCTTCCCCCTCCCTCTTCCACCCCCTTCCTCCCTCTGCCCCCTCCCCTCCCTTCTCCCCGTCCCCTCCCCCACCCCTGCCGTCCCTCCCCCTCCCCCCTACCGCCCCTTCCTCTCACGAGCGGCGACGAAAAACTTCCCGGACGCGAGCGAAGGGCAGCGGGAACGGCGCGAACTCGCCATCCTCTCATTTTATTCTATCATCTCGCGAGGATTACAAGGTTTCCCGCCACACCATTATTTGCTCCTTTGTTAACAAGCCCCGTTACCCAGCGCGCCGCTGTGAGGGCGGAGGCGGCGGCGGCGCTGGCGGAGGAGGAGTGGGAGGTGGAGAGGTAGAGGGGGGGGAGGGGTGGGGTGGGGAGGGAGGAGGGGGGGGGTGGGGGAGGGAGGTGGGATGGGCGGGGAGAGGTGGAGGAAAGAGGAGATGGAGAGGTGGAGGAAGGAGGAGGAGTGGAGAGGGTGGGAGGAAAGTGGAAGAGATGGAGGTGGTGGTGAAGGAGGAGGCGGGGGGAGGAGAAGGGGGAGATGCGGGGAAAGGAGGTGGTGGAGGTGGTGGTGGGGATGAAGAGAGAGGCGGATATGGAGGTGGTGGCGGAAGGAGGGAGAGACTGTGATGGTGGAGAAGAAAGATCTGTAGATGGGGAAGTGGTGGAGATGGAAGTGAAGGCGCGAAGAGGTGATTGTCATGGTGGAGAAGGAGAGGGGGGGTGGGGGGTAGAGAAGATCGTAGTGATATTGAGGAAGAACGGGCGATGGAGATGTGGATGCGTTGGAGAAGAGGTGGAAGAAGAAGCGGAGTGGAGAAGAAAAATACAGAGGATGGCGGGGAAAGCGATCACGAGGAGGAAAGAGAGCAGGAGGAATGGGCGGCGAGGCGGCGAGGCGGCGAGGGCGGCGAGGGGGAAATGTGATGGCGTCCGGCCGGGCGCAGGGCGAAAGAGTGTGAGGGAACGAAGCGAGGGATTTGTCTCTCTTTTCCCCCCTTTTTGATTCGTTTGACGCAAGGTGTATGGAGGCAGTGTAGCCGCAAGTGTACCGGACAAGGTGTAAGTGCCCAGAGCGAAGTGTGAATCCTTGCCTAGGGTGAGGGATAAGTGTGAGGGCTGGACACGAAGCGAGCTGGAGTCCGAGGTTGGGGCCAGAGAGGATAGAGGGCGATTTGCGGTCGTTCAGGAAGGTGTAAGGGTGTATTAAGGGTGTCTTCGGGGATAAGAAAGTGTGTTTAGCGTCGGGAAGGGTGACAGGTGCGTAAGAGAAGCTTTATTGATGCGTTCAGAGAGTGAAAAGAGAGGAGAGTTTGGCGGTGAAATTATTTGCTTTTCTTATTTATACATTTGTCATTTTCATTTTATTTATTTTCTGATTTTATTGTTAACGTGCACCAGGCTTCAAAAATGGCCGTAGGGGGAGAGCCTGTTAATTCATTTG